TGATGAGGATATGTGCATTGTGTTAGTCTGATCACAGTTTGACTAGCACAGTCTGGAAGTGGGTGTACAGGATGAGAGAGAGCAGCCTAATTGCTCTCCCTGCATCAGCAGCATCTATAAAAGCATCCTGGGAATTGCTCGCCCTACGTTCAGAGCAGCTGGTCACATGAGCCTGAATTTTCAGTTCAGTTCATTAGTCAGCCATTTTGGTCAACACCCTGCTTACTGCGCACGACCAATCCTATGAGAACTCAGCATCCCGGCTCATCTGAGCAGATCCTGGAAGTGATTTCTGCGGCTTGGGATTTTTTTAAAGCTAAATTGAAAGTATAGGTTTATTTTTTGTTTAGTGTTTTCTTTTTATGTTTTTTTCCCCTATACAAAGAAGGAGAATTTATTCGTGCTGAGACCAGTTTTTTAAAACCAGATAAGGCAGCATCGGCTGTGCAGGATTTAAAGCCTATAGCTCAGCTGGAAAAAGGGGGAAGGGAAGATAAAAGGAGAGGAAGCCGGGAGAGACAAGCATCATCTTATTTTGCTATGTGGTAGGAACTGTCTGTAAGAAAAGGTAGTGTAGAATTTTTTATCTTGAGCAGTTGGTTCTTTAAACTATAAGGTATTTTTCCTTGTTTTTAAAAAATCTCCCTCACCCCTTTTCCTAAAAGCTTTGTTTCAGAGCTTTGGCCTTGGGGTTTTTTAGTGAGGAGGTCTTATATATTTTTTGGGGTGTGTGTGTGTGTGTGTGTGTGTGTGTGTGTGTGTGTGTGTGTGTGTGTGTGTGTGTTGTGGTCCCAGCTGAGTCATCATGTCTGCTCTGACGCCTCCGACCGATATGCCAACCCCCACCACTGACAAGATCACACAGGCTGCCATGGAGACCATCTACCTTTGCAAATTCCGAGTGTCTATGGATGGAGAATGGCTCTGCCTGCGAGAGCTGGATGACATCTCACTTACACCTGACCCAGAGCCTACCCATGAAGGTATGGTCAGATCCCTTCCGCTAGTTTCTCACCACCATCTTCATTGTTATGGGGGTCTGGTAGGGTCAGGGAGAGGTAGGAGGAGCATACACTCTGTACTATTAACAATCCTGAAAATCCATCATCCTTGCCTACCACCCAGTTGCCCTTCTCTTGCTTACTGGGAAAAAAAATATTTTTTTCCTAACCTGAGATATCCTTTCAAAAGATGCCGGGTGCTTGTTTAGAGTTCTTTGTCTTTAAACCTCTAGAGAAAACATTTGAAGTCACTTATTACATCTGATCCTAATCAACAATGAAAATGCTGTTAATTTTGTTCATCTGTGGAAATGTTATAGAAATTCATAAAAGGGTAAGTTAAAACAACATGACCAATTATAGGATTGTACATGATAAATACAGTAGAAACACTAAAGAGGTTGCCTGTCATGAGGATAAAATGTTAAACTATGACATCTAGAAAATATTTGATATAAGATTATCTTTTTTAGTAATATGGGTTATTAGGTTAGATGAGAAAGTAATTTTATTCAGCACTTATTCAATGAATATGAACTCCTTAAAAAGCATAATGTTGCAAAGGTTAAGCATGATAATCCTTATAGATTACTATACAATGTAATACTAAAATCTATTGGCCATTGCATTTTACACATTATTTGTAGTAACTATTATGACCCATTTGAAATTTCCTCTTTTAATATCTTTGTGATCTTTGTCATCTCTTGACTTGTGACTTTCTTTCAGAATCTTTCCTAAATTGTGAGGAGTTTCCACTTCTACCCTTTAATTCTCTTAATGCCACAGGAAAAGAGTTTATTTGAGTCATTGCTATAAATTGTTTTGTTTTTAATATAGTGGCTTCTTAGTTAGTGTTTATTCTCTTAAACTAATGAAGGCAGAAATGCTTGCTTGAGAGGAGAAATGCTTCATAAACATCTGCCTGATAGGCATATCTATAGGACAGAGTGGGCCATAGGTAAATTGCACATAGCATTTGGGGTTAGGAAAAGTGATTCCTTCTCCTTGACCTTGTGTTGCAATCTTACCATGGCTCAAATTTCACCCATTGTGTTTGGTAAGGATTTTACCTCCCCAGTCAGATTTTGAAAGTCATGCAATATGAAATATTTCCTTAGTTATACAATCTAGTTTATCAGTGTCTCAAGAAATAATTTTTAACAACTTTAGTACTTTGAACATAACATACGTTTGTGTTTTGAGCAAGATTCCTATGAATAAGCAAACATGAGCTATTTGGTTCATGAAAGTATTTGTAGTAGCTGTTTGAATTCTTCATGGAGAAATCTGTGGTAACACATTTCTCAGTAAAATGGAAAATGTATGAGATCTGCAACCTAAGCTGTAAGTGGCATATCCTTTGATTAAAGAAATCAGGCAAAAACAAAAAATTTAACTTTAACTAGAAATCAGGCAAATAGGAGTTTCCAAGACTTTTAATCAACTATGTAAGATTTGGAGGAGCCAGGCTTGGTGGCCCAGCCTGTAATCCCTCACCTTTGGGAGGCTGAGGTGAGTGGATTGCCTTAGCCCGTGGGTTCGAGACCCGCCTGAGCAGTGAGACCTCATCTCTACAATAAATCAAAAAATCAGTTGGGTGTGGTAGCACATGCCTGTAATTCCAGCTACTTGGAAAGCTGAGGCAGAAGGATCGCCGGAGCCCAGCAGGCGAGGCTGCAGTGGCCGGGAGCGGCCACTGCACTCCAGTCTGGGCAACCGAGTGAGACTCCAACTCAAAAAAAAAAAAAGATTTGGAGGAAAACAGAGAAATGCTGACAGTGAATTTTGGAATTTTGCCTTAAATTGGTCAAGAGAAGCAATTATTTCAAATTATTAGAAATGAAAATAATGAAAGAAAGCATATATAAGTATAGTGATCTGGTAAGCCAGGTGGTGCTTTATGGGAGTTTTATTTCCTTGCTCCACTGGCAAAGTGTGGATGTCTGAACAGTTGTTTGGTCCCAAGAACTGTGTGCTTTAATTTTACTACCAGTGACAATTATTTGATTTAGTTTGGCTATAAGCATTTAAATAGTGGTCACCAGGCCAGTGATTATGTGACTCACACCTTGTTGACAAAATGGAGCTCCTGGTGCCTGGACACACATGGGAGTATCCAGACTACTTCCCTGGCTGATTCATGGAGGGAAAACCATCTGACCACACCGATCCTGCAATGGAGCCCCCTCGCTCCCACAAAAGAAAAGGGGCAGAAGCATAATGTACCCTCTTAAAATGTGGATTGACTGTGTGTGGCCTCTACAGTAAAAGCTTTGGGGTTTCTACATTTTGTTTCTGAAAAGAGAGTTCCTACCCTTCATGAGCAGGCCTGGACCTACCTGGAGTTTCTGCCTACTTTAACCCTTAAATACATGGGAATGAAAACACTCGCCTCATTATCTCAGTGATTATTGGTGGTCACTGAGATGATCATTCTCTTTATTTTTTATTTTTAACCCTCATTTTTCAAAACCAGGAGAAAATCTACAACAACTTTGACTGCAGATAGTTTTCCCTGAAAGGCAAGAATTTTAAGATTGATTCCAGGAGAGAAGAAGGATCAGGAGAGGTTTCACCCAGAGGAATGTGGGCTAGACCTTGAGAGATAACTAAGTGGTCACCAAACATGGGGGAGGACATTTCAAACAGTACATAGTACACTGGCCAAGCCAAGAAGTAGCAAACAGGAGCACAGCAGGCTTGTAGTTGGCATAACAGGGTGCAAGACTGGAAAGATAAGCAGGGGCTAGATTGTCGAGGGCTTTCTGTTCCTTGTGAGAAGCCTGGACTTGATTATGGATGGAAAAGCTATTGGTGTTTTATGTCTGGGAGTAACAAGAAGTAAGATTTTTATTGTGGAATTATCACTCCGGCAGCAGTGTAGCAGATGGAACAGAGGATATATAAGCTCTCCAAGGATGCCAAACCATGACTCTTAAAATGGTCCAGGTAACAGATGACAGTCCCAAACTAAGGTAGTGAGAGTGAACACAAAAGGGAAGGAACAGTCACTGGAAAAGTAGACTGTGCCTGATGACTGAGGGTCTGGGGTGCTGGAGGACGAAGGTGAAGCAGTGCCTGGAATGACTCCCAAGCTTCAGGCTTCACGTCTTGGGCTCCCTTCATCAATAGGGAATGCACAATGAGAGAGGGTGACATTCCCTGAAGCTCATAGATTATGACCAACCAGAGGAACACTATCACTCTTTCAATTTAGCCTTCTACTTACCCCACAGAAGCGTAAATCAGGTTTATGCTTTTCCAGATTATGTCCTCTGGCTTTAGTCTGTACCCCAACTCTCCTTTAGAATTGGAGTCCTGGCACTTGGGGAAGCGAGAAGAAAAGGAATGATACTTAAATTGACATTCCACTTTGAGGGTGTGGCTCACTTTCCTTTTGTCATGTCAACACTAGCAGAGCAATCTTGTTTATACAAAATTTATTTTTCGTTTTCATAATTTAGAAAAATATGTGCCACCATTGAAATGACCTCTCAGAGGCATTTTTTGAGTTTTTTTAGTTTCTGAAAGCATAGTGGGATTTCAAAGTAAAGAATCTTTAAAGACACGATGGAATATTTTAGAGAATCTACAAGTTATGTCATTAGCAATCTGTATACTGATAAAATCTCAGGCACTTTAAAGAGAATCTTTAAAGGATAAAATCCTGAGCCTTTCATGTTTTGTCTCTTATGTGATTATAAATAATACCCCTCAATTTAAAATGGGATTATATCCCAATCAACCCATCATAAATTGAAAATATCCTAAATTGAAAATGTACTTGATACACCTAACCAACCAAACAGCATAGCTTAGCCTTGCCGGCCTTAAACAAGCTCATAATATTTACATTAGCCTACAGTTGGGCAAAATCATCTGACTGCACAGTGCACAGTTGTTCAACCTCGTGATTTTGTGGCTGACTGGGAGCTCCGGCTCACCACCACTGCCCAGCATCGAGAGTATCATAGTATATCACTAGCCCGGGAAAAGATCAGAATTCAAAATTCCAAGTACAGTTTCTACTGAATATCGCTTTCTCACCACAATAAAGTTGAAGCCATCATAAATTGGGAACCATCTGCAAGTTGAAATTAGCTTAAAAGAGCGGTAATATATTTCAAACTAGAAAATAATATTTCTCATATATTGCCTTCACTCTGTAAAGTGTTTTTCAAATAGAGTTTATGGTCTAAGTCAAATTCCTTTCTTGTTCTTAATCTAAATGTTCAGTTTTTAGTTTATTTTTCTTCCACATTCCTACTCTCCTTTATCATTTTTAGCAGTTTTACATGGTTACAAGTTAAAAACCTGAATTTAAAATAATTCTTATATGCTTATTATAGTGAATGTAAGGTGTATTTTTAAAATAATATTTTTTGTAAATATAAAAAGATATTTTTCCTCATCGCTGCAAAAAATAAAAAATTAGACAGGTAGGTGGTGTGCACCGGTAGTCCCAACTGCTTGGGAGGCTGAGGCAGAAGGATTTCCTAGGCCCAGGCGATCAAGGCTATGGTGAACCATGATCCTGCCACTACACTCCAGTCTAGGCAACAGAGTGAAACTCTGACTCCAAAAAAAATTTTTTTTGTTGCAGAGGTTTGGACATTTTTTTTTTAAGTTGGAGTCTTTCTGTGTCACTCAGGCTGGAGTACAGTGGCACGCTCATGGCCAACACAGCCCCGACCTGCTGAGCTTAGGTGATTCTTCTGCCTCAGCCTTCCAAGTAGCTGGAACTACAGGTGCATGCTACCATGCCCAGCTAATTTTTTTTTTTTTTTGAGTTGGAGTCTCACTCTGCCGCCCAGACTGGAGTGCAGTGGCCGCTCCCGGCCACCGCAGCCTCGACCTGCTGGGCTCCGGTGATCCTTCCACCTCAGCCTTCCGAGTAGCCAGAATTACAAGCGCGCACTACCACGCTCGGCTGATTTTTTTATTTATTGTAGAGATGAGGTCTCGCTGCCCAGGCAGGT